TTCATTAAATGAGTAACATCTTTTTCGTTCATATAAAATTGCGACGATACTTAATATAGTCGTACAAATAAAATGAACGAATCGGATCAATATCTTTTGACCGAAGTTTAGTAGCAAACATGAATGAAGATGTAGAAAGTAAAAAAAAAATAATAGGTTCTAGGTACTCTCGTCAAGTATGCTTATCTTTCTTTAAAAAAAAGACAATAAAAATATCTTTGGTGCCCCTATTTCACGTAATAAAAGAATATGAGTTTCGAAAAAGAAACGAGACCGATGTATGAGGGAGTAATTCTATAACAGAGGATAAAAATTCTAAGACGAAAATGATCTTGTCGATTTTTATAAAAAGTTTATCTCCTAGTAGATTTTCTTCTACCTGTTGACCGCTTTGGACGACGACTGTTCGACCGCGTCGTGTTTGACCAAGGTAGAGAAAATTCACTGCAACAATAAAACCAGTATTAATCGATGCATTAGCAAAGAGTATAATTACGACGAGCATGTATCTATTTACCTCGGAGTGAAACTGGGAATAGGAGCACCAAATGCAGTAACAGGTAATTGGGGGTCTACTTGAAGACTTTGTATTTGTTCCACGTCAGGCCATAACGACGATACTTGTTCCTCTTCGACGGTAGAAGGGCAAGGCCCAGTATGATTTGTATTATAACAGGTCGCTTGATGATTCTGCCTTTCCTGCCGCTGCTTCAACTTCTCGATGTGCCTCTGTTCTCTAATCACGAAATTTCACAATGTACTCTCAATACCGTACACCTTCTTTCGTTTGATCGCGCAATACTAACCTTATCCTTTGTACATCCCACCTCTTTCTTCGCCTCTCATCGTTTTCTAGTTTTAAATGTCTTTTGTTAAAAATTTCATCATCCAAATTTTCAGTTCCCTCCATGGTATAACAGCTCGTATATATCTTTACCCTCCAATTGGGAACTTCTAGGGAAGTATCACTTTCTATCGGGCAAGATTCCTTTAAACTTAAAGTATAATTAGGATCCCCGACGGCTGTATAATAATGTTCCTCCGTACTGAGGAAAGACTCCTTCTTGGTTAAAGGCTTTCCTTTTCTATCACTTTTTCTACTGCCTTCCTGAGTTAACGTTTTGTCTTGTACCGTAGATGCGTCATTGCTAATCGTAGAAGAACAAGAAACACCTCTTTTTCGTTTGCTTCCACTGGATAACGGCACTGTGTCTGTCCTCCTTTTCTTCTTCTCTTCCCACTCTAATCTAATATCATTACCAGCTTCTACCTTTGCTTCGTGTTTACTTTGATTATCGTTTGGTTCCTGTTTGACAGTCGTGATTCCACCACTAGTGTTTAAGCGTATCTTAAAGCTTTCATTGTACTGAGAATTATTGTTCTCAGATTGAACGTTCCTATTAAGTTCACTTGTCGATGGCACATTCACAGCATTGACAGTCGAAGGGGAACACGGTCCTATATGCTCCGATGCAACGGAACTTTCATTATTTTCCGAACGAAGTTTTTGTAAATTGACACGTCTATCCATGCGCTCAAGGCGCAGCTTAAGCTGTAAAACGAATACAATTATTAGCGACTGATTCATCTCCGAACGGTTCAGATCGTTGAAGGAGAAATATGAATTGGAACGGAATGATTTTGTATGAACGCGGAATTGAGTCGAAGATCAAACGCGTTCCAAAATTTCAATTTCAATCGAAAATAGAACGTTAGACGCGTATGGATCATGTTTATAGGGCTCATTGTGTTCTCGTACAGTAGCATTCGTGGACGACCGGGAGGATCGCGTGACATTCCCGTAAGCAAGTTTATTCATTGTCAATAAACGACAGGCAAGTCGAGTCTCTCTTCGAATCCCAGGCATTTTCATTGTTCACAACTATCAGTCACATGTATCTCTCAAACTTTATTATGAATCGTGTATAGATATACATATAAGACGGAGCAGTAGCGATGAAACCGACGACGGATATCGCGAAACGTCATCGCTCCTTTCAGAAAACTCTTTCGCTTAATGACCCTTCCATTTTCCATGGTAAGATCGTCGTCGTCGCGAAAATTGCGCGCGAGAATCGAGTAAGAACGTGCTCAACTTGTTTCGAAGTTATGATTTCACACGGAACAGCGCCATCACGTGGTAACGTTGTACCTGACCTTCAGGTTCGACCACCCAATCGGAGAACGCTGAAGAAGAACCGCGAAAACGGAGTAGAAAGAAAGGGGAAGGATGAAGTATCGACACTGACACACGGCCGGACGTGAGCGCGGGCATTTTAGAACATCTACGTTCGATCGAAACGGCAGAACCAAATGAAACGAGCGAACGGATAAGCGAAAGGTGCAAAGGAAAAGTACCGTTTCGTTTTCCTGTCTGAGAGCTGCCAAGAGTTTATCCTTGGTGACTATTTGTTCGGACTGTTGTTGAATCAAATCGAGATGAAGGAGCAGGAGCTCCTTGAGATGTTTCACCTCAGTCAAATCGTTCTGTCGCGGTTCGTTGCCGCGAAGAGGACTGACACCGAGAGTAGAGGTGGCGGTTGCCACCGTCGGTGTACCGCCGTCCGTCATGCTGGCGTACATGTGATCGAAATCGCAAGGGAAGCTGAGTATGCCGGCGGCCGGTTTCCCGTCCTCGTCGGCGTTTTGGAACTCATTGCAACTGTTACTCTGATTTACGACGGAGTTACCAGCAACGGTGGTGGTCGAGACCGTGTTATTTCGAACGCCGCTAGTAGTCGACGCGTTAGACAAGTGTTCGTTCATCGCCGCGACCATGTTGTCGTCTTCCTCCTCGTTATCTTCTTCCTCGTCTTCTTCGTAATAAAGAGCAGGAACGGTCGTGGTCGTTCGATCGTCGTGTTCAATGATACCGATGGTAGTGTTGGTGATGGTATCGGTGGCGGTCGCGGTAGTGGTGGCAGATGCGATGGTGGTAGTAGCGGCGGTGAGATCGACGATTGGTGCCTCCTCAATGCATGTCCCCGCGTACGCCTCCTGAAATTCTGTTTCACTGTACTCGATTCTCGAGTTCACATCCCTTCGACCGCGTATCTCCTCGTAATTTTCCGGTATCTTCGGATCGGGATTAACGTCACAAAACTCCACGCCGACGACGCCCCCGGCGATCAAGCCGGTAACGCAGACACCGCTGTTGCTGTTACTATCACTGTCACCATTACCATTACTGCCGGAACGGCCACTACCACAACCGTTGTTACTAGCACCACTAGGAACAGTAGTACCAGCGCCAGCGACAACACCGCTAGTAACAGTAACAATAGTTGTATCAGTATCATTACTACTATCACCAGCGAAGACGATCAACGAAGACGAGTCAGTGCTGCCAGCAGCGCCGCTCTCGTTTTCTTTCTTATTCCCGTACTCGTATCCGTCAACGTTCTCCTTCTTGATCTCACCGTTCAACAGTTTCGAGGCGGCTGAACCACTCGACATCTTCCCTCTCTACCGCCCTCACTGTCGCTTCCCACTTCTTCATTTGTGGCCGCCTCGAGCGTACCACGCGCCCGCACCGCGCACATTAAGCGTCTTGACAATACCTTCACCGACGATGCCTTCACCGCCGCTCTTCACCCCCGTCACATATTATTACCCTTCTTCATCTATTCCTCGGCTGCTCCACTCCGCGATACACTTATTCAACAGACTTGTCCCTTTTCTGTCTTTTCTATCGGCGTCGAGCGATACACTCGTCACGAACTATCTGCCAGTGGCAGCGCACGAGGTGCAGTGTCCCTGTCGTCCGAGTTCGTATGTACTTGTGTTGTATGTTTACTCCGACGAACGATGCCAACGCGAGCCGCGCGCGCGGCACGCCGTTTCCTCTCCACCCAGCATCTCGTACTACCGACATCTCGAATCCGTTCGCCAAGACTTTTTCACCCTCGCCTCACCGTTCCCGTATATCGGTTACTTCGATCACCCACTTATTCGCTCGTTTCGCGCCAACTTAAAATCCGCATCCTCCTCGAGGTCGTCATATATTAATTATCATTGACTACGAGCTACACGATTTAAGGATTACTTCTATTCGTTACGTTCATGTGAACCGTTGAAAATATTTCGTGGCAAATACGTACATCACGTTTCGATCGTTCTATTCTTTTCTTATATAAAAATATTTTCAACGTACTATGTTCCATCGAATTATTTGGCATCTGCTCTGCCAATTACACGATAATTTTAGAAGATTTTCGATAATACAGGGATGCGTCATTGGTAGCTATTTATTTTTGAATATTTATTCTTGTATGATGCATGTATATGTATCTAATTATTAAATGTATAACTAATGAAAGTTGTATCGCAATTAACCTTTGATCGTTTCCTTTTAATTCAGCTACGCTTATTTGCATACGATCAACGCTTCAAATCATGTTTCAGATAAATTTACACGTAAGTATACCGCGTCCGTTCCTTGAACCTGTGTATACAATTCTGTATCAAAATGATGGACACGGAACGGTTCTATATAAATTTGTCATCGAATTGATTCGTATTCCATAGTCGGTAATATTACATACAATGTTTATTACGATGATTTGTATATTGGCATCAAAATTTACAGTCTACAATGCGTTACATGTTTTTCTCTCACGACGTTTCGCGAAAAACTGTGACCACCTAACATATGATAAGAATGATAGAAAACGATGATTTTTTTTTAAATAATTATCGTGAGAACCTTGATAATAATAGACTGCTAATGTGCGCCTAAAAAGTAATATTAATAACAATGTCATGTGATTTTTATTCATTACGGATATGTTGCATCGATTGTTTAATAAGTGAAACAATTGATACAAAATGTTGTATATAAAAGAAGCTAATAGGTACTAAATGCTATTAATTGTACCGCGAACAACTTGCACGATATAATAAATGATGAATAAAAAGAGACTTAATTACAAACATGTTGCGTTGTATTCAGCTTTTGTATAATTCGGGTGCCTTCTCTTTTATAAAGCTAAATTTTGATTACAGAACCTTCGATCAACGCTAAACTATTCGTAGCTATTATTGCCTCTCGCGAATTCTGATTGAATTATACCTACTAACTAAAACTGCACTCTCATACGTATCGGAGAACCAAATCACATTAATCGTCTACGTCATAAATAATAAAACGGATTTCTTATTTATTAACTGAACAAAATAACTCTGTTCCAGTAGTACAGTTAGTAGGTAAATAAAATTAATTATTCGCTGTTCTGTGTGCATTAATTAATTATTACATCTATATCGAAATTGTTATTAAAGAATGATAAAGCCATGCGCCTCGGTGTGCCTCGTACATATAGTTACAAGTATAATTAATAATCGTGTAAGTTGACCTCACGATTATTCCAATCATTACTTCGTTCAAATCGATTTGCATTTCATATTGGTTCGCTCATTGATATGACGTTCTTCGAATATATGTATTATATAACAACGTCGTAAATATAATTTACTGAATATGTAAATATATCTAAAAAACGTGATCGAGATACAAAAATTGATTTTCTCGTAAAAACTTCTATAAACAGAACTATATACAAAAGTATAATGGTTTATCTGTTAGATCGATCGGATACAAGTTTAGTGTCCCTTAAACTTGTATCATACGAGTCGTTTATTAGTTTCATTTACGGAGTTCCTACGCAGCTTGAGCGTCGAAGAATAAAGAAAGAGAAAAAAATACGAATTGCTGAATGGATAGTGAATTTGCCATTTCGTTTTGTAACATTCACCGGCACATCGCGAAAACACGAACTTTCGGATATGAATTTAGTGTTAAGCATACAATGGTCATGGTTTGAGTATTATACGGATGGATGGATGTACATAAATCTGAAAAACAAAACGGTATACTATTTTCGACTCATGATCTACGGCACAACATCTAATTCTCTTTCTAAGGACTATACATTCAACGTAACGTTTTTCGGTTACCGTTCCTATTACATTAATTAAATTACCTAATAAATATAACAACGCTGATATACAGATTTGAACATTCACTAGTTACATGCAATTATAAATATAGTTTTTTAACTACGCTATTCGATGCTATCTTATATATGTATATTTCTATGTACAATTATTACAGTACTTTTCATCCCTTTCCTCGTTTCAACATCTCTGCCTCATGTAAAGCGTATCGTTCGCACAGACATGTGTACAGACACACGAACATGACGAAAGGAAACTTCGAGGCGACGATTAAAAAAAGAACATACGTTATGAAATAGTAAAATTTTCCCGAGAATGGATCTCATGAATTCCAACAAGCTCCTATCCCATATTTCTCCCGTATCAGGTATACACGTAGATTCATAAATATTTGAAATCAATTCGATGCGAAAAAAATAATTCCTATTTTCGGGAAAGTTAGACAGTTGAATAGAATATTTGTTCGAAACGAAAATGCGAGATATTTCTACAAAACAGGTGCGACGTTGAAAAATTCTAGATTTGAAATTCATGCAAATACCGCTGTTTATGACTAGAGTGATAATATTAATTCACGATGTAATTAAACCCACTTTTTCTCAAGCTGAATAACTTGTAAGCATAAAAAAACGAATACGTATATTTTTTTCAACGCCACTCTCAAGGAACTGCGAGTTAACATATTTTATTCCCTCGTGCATTTATTCATCAATAATTTTCCTCACCGATATTGCAACCTCTTTGATCTCTGATCAAGGGTCTACAGTTTATAAATAAGATATCCATTCAACTAAGGTTGAGCCTTGCCTTCCCCTAAGATTAAATATATTTTGAGTATGTTATAATGTTATTAATTCCGTTCAAAGTTGTCTAGAGAAAATAAAAGGAAGAGCGAGCTTGTTAAAAAATAAACAGCTTGTACCATCGGCTTTGATCAATCGTTAATCTGATACTTTCCCTCCGCGATAAGTGTACTGTGCCGGTAATGATAGGAACTACGGTTAAGTTCAATTGAGAAATCAAACTTGTTGAAAAATTTGAGCGGTCCGACAGTGTCCGAAATAAAACGAAAATTCATTCGAAAAGAAAACGTATACGGTTTGTTGGAGATTCTCTTCAAGTGTCAGAAAGTTAAAATCGTTTGAACTAACGCGATCGATCGAAAATTTGTATTGTCTCCCGACGGAAACGCGGCGGCGATAAGCTACTTTAAAAAAATACATTTAATCGCTGCGAGTCTCGTAATTGTTTAAAAAATATCCGCGTTCGATTCATTCATCTTTGGGAACGCTCATTCGTTTTAAAAATATGTTTGTAATTAATTTCTTAACACGAGATAGAAGAAATTTCTTACTGGTACGATATCTGTCGGAACATACTACTAATCTCCTCCATCGTTTTGTTCTTCGTCTCGGGCACCTTCTTGTAAATGAAGAAGACGAAGAACGCCTGTATCATGGCGAAAACAATGAATACGTAAGCGCCCATCGCCTCTTGGAGAGGTAGAAATCCGATGCTGACGATGAAATTCGCTGTCCAGTTGACCGCGATGGCAACGGACGTGGCCGCGGGTCTCGCCGATTGATTGAACAACTCGGACACCAGGAACCAGGGAATGCTACCTGGCCCGGTTGCGAACAGAACTACGAACATGATCACCAATACGATGGAGAAGTACGCTGCTGTACTAGACGTGTCCTGGAAACAGCAGACGATTACATTACAGTGTCGCTCCCTTCGAAAATCATTTTCTTGAAAACGATTACTTACAGCGAAAGCGAGACAAATCGCGAGGAGAACGGTGTCGATGAACATTCCACCGAAACCGATCAACAACAACGTCTTTCTTCCAGCTTTCTCAACGAGTATCAACGAGATAAATGTCATAAGGACGTTCATCGCGCCGACGCCCATCGTCGCGTTTTGAGCGGCGTTTTTATCCAGCTGCGCCATCGTGAAGATCTTCGTCGAGAAGAACATGACGGCGTTTATACCAGACAATTGTTGCGCGAACATGACCATGATCGCGATCGTCAATGGAATTCTTAGAGTAGGATTTACAAATAGTTCTTTCAGCGTGACCTTTGGCACGAGCTTCACCGATTCATATTCCGTTCTCATTTCCTCCATCTCGTCGTGAACTTCGATTGTGCCGCGCAACCAGGACAGAGCTACGAGAAACAATTGTCTCGTTGAGATGAACGTCTCGATCCAATAATGATACAGTTAAAAATTGTTCGCTAAAGAACATGTACACGTGATTTGATAATACGTTTGTTAATGTACCTCTTTGAGCTTCCATATCCTTCCCTCTGCCCAGCAATAAATACTTTGGACTCTCGGGACACAGAGGAAGGGTGATGACTTGGAAGATGGCAGGTACGATCGTCAAGCATAAAAGAAGCGGCCACTGTTCGCTCGTTCCCAGAATTTGTTCTAATCCAAGGATCTGCGATACCAGAATCGACATAGTGATGACTAGCTGATAAACCGTACCAACAGCGCCTCGCAGATGGATCGGTGATATCTCTGCTAAGTACATGGGTGCCAGTCCAGCGTTCAACCCTGCGTTTATACCGATAATAAATCTGCCGATGATTATCATCTCGTAGCTGTTGGCCGTTTTCGCGAAGCCCTCGAAGATCACCGTGGCTAACACCAAGACGTTGTTCAACAGCAAACCGCCTTTCCTGCCGAAACGATCGGCTATCCACCCGACCAGCGAACCACCGATCATGCCACCCACGCAGAATATCGACACAGCTATCGACCATATCATCGTAACTTCCGATTGTTTCGTCGGTACACCGGTTCGGTTCATTTTCAAGTTACTGATCCAGTCCTCGATAAGCTGCGACAGATCGTCGGAATTGTTTACATTGTAATCGATATTTATGTAAATATAATACAAAAATATTTCAAGCTCTTGAAGAATAATATGTTCCTGCATGCATTCGATATTAGGCGCTTAAAAAAAAAAAGTAAAAATCACGTAGATACATTTAAAATCGTACGATAAGTAGTGAAGAATCATTATATAACTAAACGCTTCATTAACTTTTTCTATCGATTCCACTTATTAGCTCGTATAAAATTTCCATGAGTTGGGAAGAAATTGTTCGAGTGTTTAAATCAAGAGTCTTAAATATTTAATTAGTGACGCGGATGTGAAATTGAATACGTAGCCTGCAAGTGACCGGACAATAAAAATTAAGTTTAGCCGAAAACAAGAACGCGCGAATAAACGCGATTTATAACATAGATTGACGTCGGCGCTGCGTATAAAAAATGCTGACAATACGTCTCTTCTTATGAAATACCTGCTGAGGTGCATTAACGACACCGGTGTTGTACCCATGTTGAAATGATGATCCGAGTGCAGCAGCTGCAATAGCAAATGCTAATCGCCCATTCAAACCCTGCAACATAAGAGATAATACGTTTTTACATGGATGATCCCCTCCTATGTAATAAGCGAACATCTATAACGTTAAATATTCGTCAGTTTACATTCTTAATCCGATGCCGCTACAAGAAGATAAGGATAGTATCACTTTCATTTCATTTAGAAGAACGAGTCGAATCTACTGAACACTTTTCTATTTAATAAATCATATATCCGTCCGAGATCTGATAAAAACGACGGATAATGGAGCGCGTTTAATAACGAAAATATTTCTTATCATGAGCAAACTGTTCACTGAACCGAGAGCCCAACTTGTGTCTTACCGCTCTCCCATAATAAGTTATCTGCTCAAGCCCGATCGTTTTCAGAGTCATCGAGGGATATTTTGATTGATTCACTGATGTGTAAAACAGAACTCGTGCTGGGAGTTGACCGAAGACTGAAGATCGCTCGGACGTTTATGCAAATTATATCGGACTCCGGTGTTTTCAAACACGTGTCAAAGACTACTCTGCGGGTCGGTACCCCCGCCATGCATTTTTATACCGCGCCACACCACGTCTAAGCGGACCATCGTGTGTACACGGTAAAGCACGCACACGTATCTCAAGGAAATCTACCAGCCAGTGTTTCTCAAATCGAATGAACGATCCGGTGAAACAGTACATTTAACGCGTTTTTATTGCTTGCGTCTACTTCTTGAAATTCTGAGACGTGGCCCGAACAAGGACACGTTGTTATTCTCAAGGTGGGTCAGCAAATACATATTCGAAGAGAGCAATTAGGAAGTATAACGACCTGCGATACTATTCTCGGTAAGACTAGGCAATTCATTTCTTACGTCTTATTGTTCACTTTATTTACTTTCATTACAACAGGATTGAGATTACCTCCCAAGTACAATGCTGCTACTTCATACACATTATTATTACGTAAGCGTATATTTGAAAGGGACTATTAATTAGAAGGCGAGCATTCAACGAGAGAACATTCGCCACAATAAAAATATGCCTATCCCCGATCATGGCTATTCTTTAGTTCTCATGAATATGCATAATACGAAATGCGGCAAGGCTCGGCGTTCCTCTTGAAGAGCATTGCCATGGTTCGCTTTTACCGCTTCCTTTTTCCCGGTCTTTAACCGGCTTACTATACCCATTCGGAACGTGGCCAACATTTCCGAGTGATCAATCCGAAAAACGAAATGATTGACGATGAGAACAGTGTATGTTAAGATTTATTTACTCTTCTTAGATACGTCTAATTCGGGTCCAAGAATTGATACTTGAAAAAAATAGTATATACACGCTTATCAGTCACAAAGTCCACTCGTCTGGAAAAAACAGTTGTTGGGAAAACAATAGTGACGAAGTTATATTATGCCGGTTTGTTACGGTGTCCATAAAGAAAATTTTTCGCCCTTTGAACCACGTCTACGTCGGCAGTCGCTCGGGACGGGGGAGTGTCGACCACGGCCAATGCCGATTGGTCCGCACAGCCAAGCCTCTGACATACGAGTCTCGTGGTAGCCTCGACCGTCCTAATTATAGCCGCGGCTTGTCACGAGCGCAAACATTTTACGTATCCAAACCACCGAATTATCAATTACTTTCGAGGAATTTTCGACGCTGTGTGTGTCTAAGATACAGTAGGGTCAGTTATATACCTGCAAGGAAAATATTTAAAACTTGGTACTTTATCAGTGTCGAGTAATGTAACTAGACCATAAGTCGAAGAGCAACAGAACAGTGTATAAATATAAGGAAACAGTTGTTATAGACATTATAAAAATCAGAATAAAAGTTTGCCCATGTTTTTTTTTTAAAGAAAAACTTTAACATGTCATTTCATGCGTGTTTCGCGCCACGTTTCCCTGGTCGAAAATAAGAAGATTGACGTTGCCTTCATGCTGATGCCCTCAAATAAAAATAGCTCCGAGAATTTAAACGATTTGTTTTGTAAAGTGAAATTTCCGAAATAAAAATGCGCAGAATATATAAGACACGATTTTCTGTTTGCACGATTTCAAAATTCCAAGTACAAAATGAAGATACAGAAATAACAATTCGCGTTCGAATGTTTTAATATCATTTGTACGCTCATTATTACGACTCTTATAAGCGTTTGGTTAATATACATGATAGTAAAGATACGAATTTGCATATTAGCTTGCGTCAGTCGTCGTACGATGTAGATTACCTTTTAATAATTACAAACGTCCAAGTGGAGACTTCCACAATTTAAGAGAATAGATACGAATAGAAATTATGACGTAGTTTATAAATTAACAATTTGACAAATTTCCTACTATAAATGTACTCGGTATAAAAGAGGAAAAACGAATGGCGAAAAAATTATCTTCGACAATTAACTGCAAGAGGCTATCCATATAAGTAGAATTTACATATCTGCTGAATTAACATAAGTTCAAGTGAATATTTTTCTCCTTCCAATAAAATAAAATAAAATAAAATAATATATTTAAGTACTCTGTATTCCATACCTACTGAAAGATTGTACTACGAAATTCCTTTTCAATAATAGAAGATTTCACATTCTCGTTCTGTTAATCACAGTATAAATACTAACATAAACAATTACGTACGTACGTAGATTAGCGTATTCACTGTACATACGTAAGGATACGTATAATGTACCGAAACAAGTGCTTTACGTTCAGCTATAATACCTTGGCAGAAACGTGGCCGGAAAATGAGAGTAAATTGTCTAGGACAATTGTCGTAATGTCACCGACGCATACCTCGACTCGGCGTTGCACGTACACAGCGTACGCAACCTTGGTCGAACGCAAGACTTGACATAGTTTCAGATTAATGTCATCTTTCATTTAACTCCTTTCACTTTTAATTCGATGGAATCTGATTCGCGACAGCCGGCGGTATTGTACGGAAGAAAGACGAACGCGAGGAACGAATCTCGGCTAAACAACATTATTCAATTGCGTCTGGTAATATGTATTATGAGCGCCATTCCGTATAGAGGACATGTCGACCTTTCCTATACCCAACAGCCACGAATGCTCTTGTTCCTCGGTTCCACCTGAACATATGACATGTTCTTTTATATCCAACGAACCGAACATTTCAACGTCAAACAACGAATTTATCCAACGAAAAATGTGGAAAAATTGCCGGTACACCTGAATACACGTTCCCGCAATCAGCGCTTTCGCGGATATCTGGGTTGGATTTCAAATGAACCGTGTTTTCAAAGATGTCCTTAAAACAACGATGCCGGCGAGAAGAGAAAAGAAATAGAATCTTGAAAAGTGATCTTTCACCTCTAGAGATAAAGCGTACGATGAATATTTACGTTTTTATTTGAATAAAAGAACATTGCACCGGGAGTTTCAATTGGAACAAAAATTAGACTAATCAAAACACTGATATCTGTTCCTGAAATATCTATGTACCTCGAGGGCGTCGAGATTTAGCGGTAAAACACTAATAACATTTGCACGTTGTTCACAATGCACAGAACAAGCACGATACAGTAATTTCAAGAAATATTTCACCGAACCGAGGTATTCTATAAATATTATATGGTATGTGATAAACACTCGTGGTCGGTTTGTTAAGAGGAAAACTGGAGCGCCGATATCATGTTCTTTTTCGGTGAGATTAATATGTATAATAAATTATCATTGTGTCCTGCCGACTAGCGAGAAGTGTGGGCGAAACTGTGGAAAGTACGGTTTGCGAGATATCTCGCCCGTTGAATTGTTTCAATCGTACAGCAGTGAATGAATCCATGTAGTTCTTCAAATATTTAACGAAACGTAATACTAAGTAGACGATTAAATAAAACAATTATCAATTAGACGTCGTTTATCTAAGTTAACAAGCAACTTATAGATCGTTCAGAAGCAGTACTTTTTCAAATGATGAAGTCTTCTATAGTAGATCTTCGTGAATGAGTAAAGATAGGCGATTTTGTAGATAGCTCACCCTTGTCGCGAGCCGGCGGTTCGTACAAAAGGTAGATTTGTCTTTACCTGTGGCTTTTCCCTGGTCATGATAAAATAAAAATTTGGTAATCGCACTTCGTTATGCAAACGGTTCCCTTGTTTTCAATAAATCCCGTGTGGAAAAGGTGAACGTGAAGCGGATGCGAGAAGAGACCGACCGGTTCCGTGTCACGACCGCGTTTGAAAGCTACTGAGAGACAACATTCGTGTGTGCGAGACGAAAGCCGATTTTCGAAACGAGTCATACCTCCCTCTCTTCTTTGCCTCACGCTCCCCTCGAACGAATCCCATTGGATATGCTGCTACCCCTCTCTCTCTTTCTCTCATTCTCTCTCTCTCTCTGTCTCTCTCACCGAAATCCAGCATTTCATCCGACCGTGGAATTCTGAAGAAATTACCACGTTTCAGGATTGTTAGGGCAAACTGGAAACTACCCCAACGTTTATCTTCGTCTCCGTCCATTATCTTAAAAATTTTCCTTTCCTATCTTCAATGGAAAATTCTATCAGCTTGTGGAAAACTGTTGAGAATTTAATCACCAATTTATATCGCCTTTGTTTCCGTACACTTATCTTCACTTGGTAACCAATTTTTCTGTTACGGACGTACAGGAGACTGTGAGACCACGAGACGAATTTTTCTCTTTGTTGAACATTCTAGAACAGGAATTCACGTGTATACGTACTACCCCCGGCTCTTGTGCTTTTCTCTTCTTTCGGAACTCTGCCTTACGAACCCCAGCTCAAACTTCACTGAATTTAAGCCTTTCAAGGCAACGATTCTAATTAACATTTACGTCCTGATTTAATACCAGAGAACGCGACGTTGAGTTTCCTCATTAAAAAAAAAATCGCTTAGAATTACGGGCGTACAATTATCGGATGCTGATTTCGTGAAATATGCGTCTATTCCCCTTGACCACCTGGCGATCCGATCGTTATCCGTTTTCCTGATTAAAAAACTAAGTACGTGCTTAAGCTATATAAATGAAACACTCGAAATTCATACGACGTATTAAAGATGTATAGGCTATATATGTATATNGATTTTTCCAAGTACACCCTTCAGATTTCGCGAAATTTTCGTTTTTTGTGAATAACTTCTAAACCGTTGGTCCTACGGGAAAATTACATACGACCTTTCTTGTAGAGGACAACGACATCTACAATTTCTATATAAAAAGTTTTCGCTAGCATTAATAGTTAACGGGTAATTTGCAAAAAACTGTTTTTTCGTTTTACGTCAATATCTCGTAAACTATTAACGACATTGAAAAAGTTTTACATGGAAATTGTAGATCTCGTCGTCCTCTACAAGAAAGGTCGTATGCAATTTTCCCGTATCTCCAACGGTTTAGGAGTTATTGAGGAGAAACGAAATTTTTTTCCAAAAGTTCGCCGTTTCGACGGTGGAATGGTCGGATTTTGTCAACATCAGTAAAATGCCAAATAATCATACTTAACTCATTAAATATCGAAATTAGATGAAAAGTGTACTATTTTTAATTACAGGAAATGCGTTTTTCTAAGGTACATAAACTTTTGGGATTGACTGTATAGCCAATACATCCTTAACACAGATAGATATCATCCACAGGTCTTGATTTCTTACGTTTGTCCTTGTCTCTCCGAACATTTATCCGCGTCTCGATTTCATCGATCTTCAACCAAAGTTCCGCGAGACGAGCTTACATTTCATCTACCGCAATATCGGGTTTACAGGCTCGTTCGAAAATAATCAATTTATATAACATCGTTTATCACAGATCGATACGATACTGCAATTAAAATATTTTATCTGAACAAAACGTACGGGACGATCTAGAATAAGGGAGCAATTCGTTTGTTACTAGGAGCTAGTACCGTCTCAATGGAAAACCGGACGTAGCCTGTTGACGATGGTGCTCACGTCTAGTACACCAATTTTATAATTAAGGATATTGAAGTCGGAAAGGCTGTCAATGTCACGCAACCTGGAGAACACTTAAACGACGCGATACATTTATCCTTCCAAGAGATGATCGACGCATTTGTCGATCGTGCATCAATTTTTCCGACTATCGTTCGAAACAAAGGAGTTAATTATAAATAATTAGTGACTCTGTCTATTCATCAGCCGCGGTCGACCATGTCGTTCGATCATGGAAAACTACTAAGGCTCGTGTTTTTTCCGATCTTTCGGAATGTTTCATGAAAATAAATAGAAGAACCAGGATATTTCGGAGATAATTGAAACACAGTTCGGTGAACTCGACTTCGTTATCGCTGGACGGAAAAAAAAACACGAATGTAACAACGACGCGCGACACACACTACGTAGCCACATGCGACCAATATCTAGAAATATGAGACTGAAATGAAATCTAATAACGTATCCGCGTATAGAAAATTTATTGTATTTACGACTACGTATCGCGTGTACAAATTGTTTTCTTTATGAAGTGTGACAATGCAGTAAAAGCACGAGAGAGTTTATCAGTATTTATCGATACTATCAAAATTTAATGAGCGAGACACCGATGACATTCGACATGCCAAGAACTTTACTCAAGATTAGATTGCTTTTTCTCTTCACCGGTTACAGGCGATTTCGTCGAACACGGTTCATTTAAAAAATATGAAACAAAAAACTGTAGAATTTATTATTTTTATCAAAAATAACTCATGCCCATCGATACGTTGTTTGTCATAATGTACTCACCCACTGCTTATCCTCTGTGACAGACTAAATGCGAACGGACAAACAGAGAAAGAGATAAGGCTCCGTTTCTCTATGATTTTCGCAGAAATTTTTAAGAAAATTCCTTTACCTTTGGTGCCGGAGTCAAAGCAGTCGGCGTCGTAACCTTCTCCTCAATTTCATTGTTAGACTAAACCGTGTATAATTAAATATTAATTAATCGTGTTAAATGTTATTGAGTGTTAACAGTAATCTCCTTGTTTCACGGTACCTTGTCCCCTTCCATCGCCATCGTAAAGCAGCTTGCAAAGATAAATCGTAAATTACATAAATGCACATTTCACAATTAAATCACTGTTCAACCAAAATATTTAAATTAACATCAACGATAAAACGATTTACGAAACAACTGTTACAAAAAAAAAGTACGAGCAATAATAGATAGCAAATCGTGAAAGTCGAATTTAGTTCGTAGATTAAACTTGGTAATGTTTCTTATCATTTCGTAATTAACAAATTAAAGATGATATCGGGTAAGAGTTCAACACGGTCTGTGCGTGTCGGACAGTTTCTTATTTGAATATTCAAACACGCGTATCGAGACACATGTAGCTTAAGAATTTTATGATCTATAAAATCTGCGCTGCGCTCTAAAAAGATTGACAGTTCCCTGACACTGCATTGTCAACGAACGGCGCAGCGTCAGCATACACAATTCGCGTTCTACGTGAACAGTTTTTCTTCATCGATCAGCCCATAAAGAAAATCGACACGATGGAATAATTGTTTGGCTCCGTGATGAAATATACCAAGTAATTTCGTCATACGATTATGTTAATACATTATTACACTAAGTACTCATTTTATGACATTTTATATAAGATAAATGATGCAAATTACACGTGAAAATCCCAACATTTCTGATGCAATCCGGACTGTACACTTTGTCTGAAGTACATATACATACTTGTACATTAATCCATTTCAGTTAGTTGAGTGTTGTAATTGATGGAGATATAACATGTCCCCTAGACTAAGATTGTAAAAGATCACAGAAGGGTTATCATCCCCCAGCAAGTAACTTGATTATATATAAATTGTATATAAACAATTCTGACAGTACAAAAGAAAATCTTTTGACTAAACATTATATAAGTGACACAGCCCTTGATAATTCTGTATCACTCCGAAGGAATTCAGAGATTAACTTGTTGAGGAACAATCATTAGGAATTTTTGATTATGGAATAAAGTACAGAATTTATAATCGCGTAATTTCAATAGCGTGCCGCCACCCCAACTATAATGTAATTGCAACTATAATGATCAACAATAATAATAATAATTATACATAGACACCAATAGAGATAAATATCTGCCAGTCACACTACCATCATAAAAATGACTAAGGCACGTCTGCTTGTAACGATTCCTTGAAAAAAGCATTTGCACTTGGAAGTCGATGATTACCAATATGAACAATTATTTATTCCTTAACGATTCCGACAGAAGAAAATCAATTTCAATGCTCGTGTCCTTGCAGACCTTAACGTGTGTCGAGCTCGCATGAAGTCAGAACACAGGAAGATCAGAATGAATTTTCAGAAGAATTACCTACGTTGCCGCGTGAATGAGAAGCACGAGACCAGCGAAACCTGTCTGTACGTATGTACGCACTTATTGTCGATGACGTGATACAAGGAGACTGAGGTTCAACTGTGTATCCGAGGGAAAGTCCGCGTTCGATTCCCGTGTGCTTATACCTGCTGAGTGAGAGAACAGTGGGCGAACACCACCCACTATAATTTCGAGCGCAAGCGCGAAAATTTACCGGTCTGCACTTTCTATTGCAATCCCGAATCTAAGATTGCTTCATCTTTTACATGTTCAGGAAACGCAGTGATTCATGAAAGTATCGGCTTGTGCAATAAGCTTGCACCGAAGGATTACGTACATCGAATACATAAGAAAACCTTTTTACGAATTAAAAGTAACTCATAATGTATTCCGACGGTTTTTATTCGATGAATATGCAAGCCAGCATGCTTCTCTTTCGGTGTTGTGCTTTTAATTTAACATTTGGTACGCGATAACAAACCGAGTTTGATCTTTCGCACCATGATATTGCCTTATTATTACTTAAATATAGAATTTTTTGTAATCAACCGACGATTCCCGATAATACTTCGTCGTATTAGGCAACTATCAGCATCGAATTCTCATGTATCGAATTACACGCAGGTTCGATCAGACGAGATATATCTAACCTCAAATAAGCATCATTACATGGAAATATTATGCAAAATCCACTGTACCTTGTAAGGTTCGCGACGATCAGCTTTTATTTAAATGCGTATGTACTCGAAGCTCGTGGAATTTGTAATTTGCAAGTCGACGTACTTCTTCTGCTCGTGTCTACTTCAATGTACACAAGTCCTTACGCACATCAATCGCTCAACACGGATAGCAACGTTTTTACTGTTGTCATTATGTCAATACTTTTCGCGTAATATGAACGTCGGATAATGTTCGTTAACAAATAACGCGGAGTATCGGAAAAAGACGCGAGAGGTTTTACTGACTGTCGTACGTGTCTTTCTTGAGCCTGCGCCTCCACGCGCGCCTATTTGGAACAAATGTATGCCGGTAGATCGATATGTTTTGAACTTCAAGTTTACGCGTACTTTCGCTAATTGAACTTGAGAACTTAGATAATTTTATTATACAGAAATAGACATCAGTTCGTTAAACTTCGAGTTATATCTCTATTAAACGAAAGACGGAGGAAACGAAATGTGAATAAGGAAGACGCAGGATTGTTTATCACAATTATTTTAAGTAAAATTGACGCCATGGCGTGGGCAACGAACGGTTGTGTTGTACGTATGTGTGTACGTATATATGCGATCAACGTCATTACAGATGGCGAGCCCCCAACAATCGTTCTCTCTCCTTTATACTCTCCCTTCCCAACCTCTTTGTTCGAACTATTATTATATATAATGCTAAGAGCTGAATTCCAACTTTGCTAATATATTATACTAATAATAAAACAGCCATCGAGTTGTATGTGCGATTAATGTAATGTTGTAAGAGATCGCGAGAAATAATGTATTCTAATTTTCATAAATTCATACTGTAACAGGTGTAGTAAGAATTTAACGTTACTCTCAAATATTTTCAAGCCAATATTTTATTTCTGTACGTTAAACGGATATATCTAAAGAACGCAAAGTCATTTCCGGTGGCACGTCGATGTACGAGAATTATTTGCATTTCAAATGCCCTATTCTTTTCGAGTCAGAGGCGTCTGTCATAGTTAAAGATCTCCGGATTTTACATGGACTCGAGTCACGAAACTTTCTTATAAAATAAAAATATTTGTATACGAAATTCTTCCGAGAAGAAGATAGAAAGCGCAGACATTTTAGGAAAGTCCATTCACATTTCGAATGACTAACATTTCTGGGAAGCTGTGGTCTACGTGCTCGACGAAAGGTAGCATCCTTTGAAGTGAGATTAATTAATTAGGATTACTTCCAACTGTAAACGTTCAGTTTCTCTATAATTACTGACTTCGTAAATTTATAGAAAAATGTATAAATAGAATATCGAGAGGCGAGTGCATACTGCAATACTTAAATGATAAAAGTATTTAAATACACAAGATGAATTACAAATGTTTCATTTTGTATGAATGTCCGAAGTCTATTAATTACGAAAAGCGAATGAACGATATCGTTTCGAGTAATCGTAGCTAATTCAAGAAAAAAACGATTACAAGTTGTATTTCATTCGAAATAAATACATAATAGATTCAATAACTTGACGAGATAGATACGCGGTTGATTGCAAAGTAAACAAAAGCGAGTCAGATAATTATGAGATATCGGCTCTGCCAAATATGTACCTGCCTAAAAAGGTATTTCATGTTCGTGATATCGTAACTCTCGTATCCTATTGCGTCAGCTCGTTCTACAGAAATTACAAGAGACCAGCAGGTGACGTGCCCCGCTACACACCCATCGGATTGACCATTCACGAGCAAGCTCCTCGAGTATTCTCAAACCGTTCAACACATAATCTGCTTACAACTGAACATTCTTTCCAAAGTTAGAAGAATATTAAATATCTATCAGATATCGTTTAACTAAGTAAATAAAATATAGGCAAAGATGTAGAACACGTTAATTTTACTACCAAACAAAATTTCAATACTGCTGTGACACAGCAGAGGAACCAATGTCTCGGTCAATAAGACGCCCATAGTTCAGCATTTCGTAATAGGAATCAAGCGAAAGGGAAATCCACCTGTTGACAACGTTGTTTTAAATATAAAGCAGAAACTAGAGAGACACCGATCCTAATTACAAACTCCGACGATTGAAAGACACGTTGTCTAAAGAATTCCTTAGAACACGATATCGATACAAATTTAATACACACGTTGCATTATTATGTACATAACAGAATAATTAACAGAATAAGATTGTTATAAAATAGATAATTGTACAATGTTAAGATAGTAACGTGTTTTGCTATAAGTATCGTTTAATTATTCGATAGGTACTAAGGGCATATTAATTGAATGCTTAGAATTCCATTAACTGGGGTCAAATACGTATCTACGTGCGGTAGCTTCGAGCACGGCTTGCGTCATTCGTAGAAACTACAGATCGTTCGATCAAGAAAGCACTACTACTACTAGACGCCAAAGGCATTCAGCGCGAACTCCAAGAGAATCGATCAATGATCTGCGATGTGCAAGGTCAAGGATTACCGTTTGAAAGAATTCCGCTCCCGTCATTTATACCCTGTTTACTGCCTGCATCGTTAGGTACACAAGAATAGTCATCACGTTTCTTGATTGATACTCTCTTACACGAATCGACCTCGAATAATAACGATGAATCTAATATTGTTGGAAAATGAAGTCACGTTTTCTATTACCCCACACGTTCATGTCGTTCGTTTATGAAGCATATACTTTGTTGAACAAATGTCTGCGACCGCGGCCGTAATCATACTTTTTGTTAAACAAAGGCTAACGAGGATAGCGTCACGTGCAGTGTGAAATAAGTACAATTTCGACAATTATCTAAAAATAAATCGTATTGTTATCAGGCTCTGTCGTCTTTCTACGCGTACTCTGTACACAAATATAATTCGTTTATCTGTGTATTCAACACGTCACTGTCCTTCATAACATCATCATCATCATCATCATCATCATCCACTCGAACACTCTTGCTTGTGTAAATTTTCCTAACAAACAGTATTCATCTTATTCAATATAAGCTGTTTCCTATACGCGAGGGATCGCGTACGTGCATACATTCATACATACATAACCAACAAGTGTAGGACGCGCGTTTAATGACGAAAATCAACAATTTATCTACACGCGTTTACTTGAATTACGCCTCCATCAATTACATCTTTCGTACATGAAAAATGATCATACGAATATTAGCGAAAAGACATGCAAGCGTTAAATTTTTGCAGACATGGTTGCATTCTTAGTTTTCTAGGATTAGATCGTCCTGTAGAGACATTATCGAAAAATGTTGAAAGACAGTTCGAAAAATTGTGGAGTCGACTTACTTTTCGGGCAGAAAGAGGTATCGTCGTCTCTCTGGCATAAATAGGAACGTCCAAATCACTGACACTGCTGCTGATACTGGGCGCTCTGGAATCAGGACGACCATTGAGGGGAACATTAAGATGCGTCGGCCTGAGTGGATGAGATTCCGCGATGAAACCCTCTCCAAAGTCTTCGTCGTCCCGATTCATTTTATCTATAGAGAAAAGAACACGGGGAATTGGCAATAAAAAAATAACGTGTCGTTTTGCTTAATGATTCGCCTACTGATTGCTTTAGCAAATTAACGATGACGCGCGGACATATTGTTAGAATAATGACAGTTGTCAGTTGTGCGTCGTAGATGTTGCACATAAAATTAGCGCGGGAATGTGACAGCATTACGCTTTCCCTATCAATTATTTGGCAAAGGATCAAGGCTAGAAACTCGATGACGCTCCCCACTCCTATCGAAATTTCCATCGGACGATCATTAAAAAAAAATCGAATAAGGAACGACGCGATCTCTCCGCCGATCGTTTCCCAACAAACGTTAATTCAATTTTATTGCATATCAACTCATCAGCTTCATGTCAAAAGAATTTAGTTTTTTTCATGACGTACTTGAACAAAAAAGTGTTTATCTGGAATTAAATAGTTAACCAAGTTTAAAACGCACATATCGACACTCCGCGCGAATCGTTTATAGTGAATTGGCATAAATTCTTGAACGTACATACATGCATGCTTAAGTACGTGCATACATATTTAGCACTCGTACGATTCGAGGAACGAGCATGTCGTTCAAAAATGTCACAGCGCAAAGTAAAGGAATAATATTCTTTTATGTAAATCGATTATAAAGCGGACGTTAGTTCATTCGGACCGTAATGTCGGCCGTGAGAAATCGGGACACTGATCCATTTAAAGTCGACGCGGGGATCTAAGCCGCTACAGGGAAAGCATGACATGTTTTTTCTTTTTAATTACCTCGTGCCCGATCGAAGCAGAAGCGATAGAAGAAGGAATAGAGCGAAGAGAAAAGTCCTAACGAGTAGGCGCCCACACCTCTCTACGCAGTCGATTACGAAAGAATCCCCTGAATGAGCGTGACCGAAAGGACCGACGACGAAACCACGGGATTACGAGGAAAAAAAAATCGAAGATAAGAACATCCGTACAGCTAGGGCGTGCTCTTGAGACTGAGCTAGAGGACGCATCTCGTCGCGACGTCGTCGTCGTCGTCGTCGTCGCCGTCGACAAGACGTAGCCGTCGGCCTCTGGCTGGATTTAATTTTAACGCATACGTCGTTAGACGAGCCTCCCGGCTTCCTCAAACAACGAACACAACTACGTTAATGCATCGCCTCTATCTCCGCCCTCCTTCCCTGCATCGTCACTCTTTCCTATACGTTTCTGCATCAATTAATTCCTGCTAAACTTTGCAATTGATTTCACTTAACCCGATACCATATCCCGCGGCTAACATTTAAACATCGGCTTCTGTAACAATTGAAATACATATCTTCTACGGATGCCTCTTACTTCTCTACATTTCTAGACCACTCACTTGATGGTCCGTAAAAAAGGATAAAAAGATTTGGCAGAAAAAATGCGAATTGTGTCTCGCCATTGTTTTCACGATTTCATTAAAATTCTCACACTTCCTTCTCCATTTCTTCTTTACATACCTTTAGGTCCGCTAATTTAAACGAACACGCGTTCATCGTCACGTGTCTGCAACACGTTTCTAATGCAATTCAAGTTTAATTACCTTTGATAATGTTTCCTAATGATATTGATTATATAAAACGGTATATTCCATTTTAAAACAGCTAATGATGCATACCGAAGGTGTACTACTCTAAAGGAAATAATTTATACAATGTTTTTATGACAAAAAAAGTCTTATCGCATTTCGGTTGCAATATATGCGTGTAAAATAAGAATATTAAAAAAATCTTTTATTACCGCTGTACCCGCGCCCGATATTTAATTCTTAATGTCCTCCGCTGAAATTGCAATGTAACATGCAGTTTTTTTATGCATCTTCCACTTGCAAGCGTTAATTAGAATTAGATTGGTGCCATCTGACGATCGTATCAAATGCTTCAGGCTTCTGCACGTCTGTGACGTGTGTTTATATGTATACATATTGTTGTCGGTCCCGATTCTGTCAATCATTGCAATTCGGTGGAGATTAATATCATAAGCCTATAATATTAAAATGCCTATAAAACCTGTTGATTATTCTTAAATCTGAAATCAGCTTTTATATCGAGTAAAAATGGTCGTATTAACGAGAGCCGTTTTAGGTTACGCTAAGAAGGTGAATTTTCCGAATTCAACAGCCTTCAATACTTCGATAATGAAAGTATAATTTACGGATGAACGATTTTTAATTGTTTAGATACCGAGGAAATTTAGACGAGAAGGTCTGATTGATAGTTTACGTCTTCACGTGACTGGGGGAACCGGCGGTTCTGGATTACCCGCTTACGGTGGACTTGGAGGAGCCGGAGGGAACGTGTATGTTGTCGCGGAAGAAAAAGCAACGTTACAGAAAGTTAAGAACCAATTGAAGCATGTAGCATTGAAAGCAGGGACCGGAGGTGATAGTAGCAAAAAGGGACTTATTGGAATGCCTGGCAAAGATTTAACCATAACTGTTCCAACGGGTATTACCATTTTTGACGATAGTCGCATTAAACTAGGTACTGCGAGCAATTTATAATGTGTTACTAGGTGTGAATAATATGGAATACTAATAATGCAAGTTCTAACGTAGGAGAACTAAATAAAGAGAATACGAAATTGATGATTGCCAAAGGTGGGTTGGGAGGATGTGAACAAACTGGATTTTGCGGTCTCAAAGGAGAAAGTCGTACTGTGGTCCTTGATCTTCAGTTACTTGCGGATGTCGGATTAATAGGTTTCCCAAATGCAGGAAAAAGTACATTTTTAAATGCTGTTTCCAAGGCTAGACCAAAGATTGCTAACTACCCATGTGAGTTTACTTGATGTATTTTATGTACCTTAATGTCACTCGATGTCTCGTCTTTTATGTACCTTCATATCATTTCATTTCTTCCAGTTACAACTTTGAGGCCCCAACTAGGTACCATCGATTACAAAGATTACAGGCAAATTACTGTTGCCGATTTGCCTGGTTTAATTGAAGGCGCGCATATTAACAAAGGAATGGGTCATAAATTTTTAAAACACATAGAACGAACGAAACTGCTGTTGTTCATCGTAGATATTCAGGGATGCCAGATCTCTCTCAAACACGACCACAGGTCTTGCCTAGAAACCGTGCTTCTGCTGAATAGAGAAATTGAACTGTACAAGCCTGACTTGTTGGAGAGACCTTCTATGATTATTGTCAATAAAATGGATACGACTGGCGCGAATGAAATCTATGAAGAGATCAAGCCGAAATTAGAGAATTTAAGAAAATTCCTATCCGAATTCGACGAGTCGATTCAACCGAAACGAGTATTGGAGTTTGACGATATTTTGACCGCGTCTTTGAAGTTGAACAAAGCAGATGAAATAACCGAAATTAAAACAAAGATCAGACATATTATTGACAAATATGAAGAACAAAAGGTTACTGAAAATACGGAGAAACTTGAAGAACAGTTATACAACAAGTTAAAACGTCAATCCAAACAGTATGCACCAACGCTCATTTAATCAAAAAGGAAATCAAGAATTGTATATACTAGGATATGTATAAAAATATTATTTGTTTATTTTAAATAGCGAGTTTTTTCTTAATATTCACCCATTCACACTTTAAATTCGCTTCTTGCACTCTTTCAATCCAACTTTCTCCAAATGGACATCGCTTTTCTACTTGTATCTTTTCAATTTCATTAGGATCTCGGATAACATCTACATTTGCCATCCATTTCTCTACTCCATTCCACGCTATCATCACTCCATTATCAGTACATAATTTAGGAGGAGTTCTTACGAAGTTGTAACCGAGTTCTGTACACAGAATATCTAATGCCTTAGCTAGAAAATTATTGCAGGCAACTCCTCCAGATACAACCTGTTAAAATAAAGTACATAATAACTAAAAATTGACATAATCATATCATTGAATAACTTTAGCATACCAATGTACGTCTATCTTCAGGAATTAGTGACAGTTTCTTAATAAATTCTATTGCCCTTTGAGTTCTCTGACAAATATGTATCGTAACACCTAACTGGACCGCGGCACATAAATTATATACATTAGGGATCACCATATCGGCAATTATGTCATGCTGTTTCTCTTCCAATTCTACATACAAGTTACAACGAGACATTACGCCAGCAAAGCTGAAGTTACAATCACGATATTTAGTCATTACAGGCGGAAATAAAAATTGATCGATATTCGTTGCTTTACTCGCCGCTGTTTCCACAGCCAATCCTCCATTTAATTTACTAAGCTCTGGAATATTTCTTAGCTTCATTCTCCTAGCAACCTACGGAGATTAATCAAATAAAAATATTTTTAAAATTGTTGCTCTCATTTTAATTTTACCTTGTCAAAAAGTTCTCCAGGTGAATTATTTATGCTACTACCAAGTAAATAAAATTTATCTACATTCTTAACAATTCCTAATAAGCAGTGACCTCCCGATACCAAGAGAACGAGGTATGGAAATTCAACCTGTAATTAAAGATCATTTTATACATTCCTCCTGATTTCACACTCAGTGGAGCACCAGCATCTTAGAACAGACCTTCTCTTTCATTCTAACTGTTAAAGCATGGGCTTCCATATGATGTATAGGTATAAAAGGTTTCCCTGCAATTTTTGACAGATACTTCCCAAACTCTGTGCCGATTTTAAGAGACATAGGAAGCCCAGGTTTTACAGTTGTAGCTATAGCATCAACGTCTCTTAATTTCATGTTAGCAGCTCTTAGTGCATCCTCGCAAGTCTTAGTAACGTTGCTTGTATGCAACAATCTTGCAAATGTGGGAATTATCCCACCGAAACTAGAATCATATGAAACTCTCATTACAAACGATTTACATTTGTACGTCATCGGTAACGACAATGTTTAACTACTTTAAGTGAGTAAGCTGTTGAGAGGTAAGTGCTTCACCTATGACGATTCCATCACTGTTAACAATTCCACAACCTGTATCGTCGCAACTTGATTCTATTCCTAAAATCACAGCAGGCCTACTGTGCACGGAATTTCGAACCGATATCGAATTAGTTCTACGTGCATAAAAATGTGTCCCGTTGTTTAAAAAACGTTTATACAGATATTTATAGAGCATCTTTTACAGATTAAATATGAATTATACGTAGGAACAGGAAAATTACATTACGCATTTAATATATCAATTTTAATATAAAAATTGCACGCGAGCATAATATATTATCTCATGAACTCGTTATCATCTTGGTTCATGAACGTTTTTAAAATTATTCAGATGTGCGTTGAAGTTGAAGCACGTGGGAACCTATATTTCCGTTCAAAGGAGTAATAAGTAATAATAGGTATACTGTGATACTGTGCTCTAAGTTTGTACCAGATGGTGCTTCAAAAGCATAGAAACAGAGAGAAACTGAGAGTGCTCATGCCTTTGTTCTCTCGTAAGACCGCTTCGAAAGTGCTGCACCTTGCGGCCAACTGGGGAAGATGGTCCACCTTTAGCATGTAGCAGAACCTTTAGGAGAAATCTACCCTGTTCGGTTCCACCGTAGCAGAGATAAGAACCTCCAGGTCCACCGTAGCATATACACATTATAGGCAGTACCAGGCAGTATGAAGATGGGATATAGGAATATATATATATGTCGAATGGGAATGGGAATCGTTCGCTCGAGTGATAGCCGCGGTAGCTTGGACGGACGAGCAAGTTAATTATGTCAAGTCGGGAGATGTTTCTACTAATTTAACAATATGTAACTTGATTATATAAAAATACAAATTTTACTCGCAGAACCGCAGGTCAGGAAGTACACAGGGTAATGAAATTAAACGCAAGACAGATTTAATATGAAATTCGACATTTATTCAATAATTTTTTATTATAAACATCGGTCCGCGGCCGCGTCTTAAATCGACACTTTTAGCCGAGTGGATGAAATTTGTGTGCGTGCTGATGCGTCAGTGAAGCGAATTTTAAATTCGGCCGTCTTCGGACATCTTCGGAAAGAAGGTCGGAAACTTCGGTGCTGATTGCGTGAATCGAGCGCATCTGAAAATCACGGTCTCCTCTCCTCGAGGTTCGAAGTCTTCCAGGCTCGGCTCGGAGCCTTCGAAGCTCCGTGTGTTCGAAACCCAGGCACTTCACTTTTTTTTGTTTATTCGACAATTTACATAGTCGATGTATGCATATTGAATGGGGCAGAGGGAATCTACTACAGCGGAAAATGTTTTTTAAGTTGCAGGTTGCAATAACAATGAAGAAATAAAAAGCCGGATAAGATGGTAAAATGTGCTCTTGAAGGAAATTCAACTTGCAATAAGCCATTCGATAGAGTGTCCAAAGCAAACGTCTTGTGCCAATTTTCAACCCTCTGTCTCAATCCGGAGGGTACTTATGGGGGTTAATCAGATTTAGC